GCCACAGGTAACCCAAAATGTAGCGTCCAGTCTTCTCTCATATTTCCTAGGAACGCCTGGTGACACTCCTCGGCCGTTTGACTCCAGGCAAAACACAGAATGGAGAATTCATCGTGCAAAATGCGAAATTCAAAACTACTTCAAAAGTACTTTTGACTTTTTCCATAATTTGAATTTGTCTTTTTGAAAACTTCATTCTACTTTCCTATGAATTGCACGAGGTATTTCTACTTAAATTTTGATTTTCATGACACTCCTCGGCCACCGTACTCCACATCCCGCGTGTTTTTATTAGAGTATAATAAACAGAAAACTGTTTTATTGCTTTTATAAAATAACAAGCGCTGAAATATTAATGAGAAAAAAAAGGGGAGTAAAAACAATCAATGACGCGAGCGTGTTTTATGCTCTCATATAATTTTTGGCCAATCAGAGCGTGCGTATAATAGGAAAGTTATTTTATATCACTTTTAAAAGATGGCAGCTAGCAGTTTCCCCCGGGGAAACAAGACGTTACAAGACCTCTTCTTTCGTCACATCTTTCTGCTTCTGACACTTGTGCAAAAAGGGCACCTATCGAAGGTTGGGAGTATATCGTTGCCGAGTTTCAGAAACGACACAGGTGTCTCACGAGTATTCCGCCAAAACAGATGCGCTTGCCTTGATATCAAAGAGAACACATCTCTACCGTGAAATGTTTCCCCGTGAAAATTCTCAAAAAGTCGTTGCTGCAAAGGAGACAAAGCTTGTTCAGGTGGTGGAGAGCTAGATACCCATACAGCAAATATAGCGCACTACATAACCCCCCCCCCCCCTACCCTGATAATGAAACTATACCTACCCTATACAAAAAGCCTATCCTCTCTCACAAAAGTTGGCAAAACATGCCACCCAATCCAAAATTTCGAAAAAGGGACCTTTCGACGGGCACATACCAAAATAGCAAATATAGAGAAGCACCCCCCCTTCCTGGAAATAACATTTATTTCGTTTCTTCAAAACATTACTGCTTAGATTTGTGTAATTCCAAAGATTTGATTACAGACTTCAGCCCTCCACATACAATTCTAACGATTCTTGCTTTAGAAATGCATCGTGAAAATGAAACGACTAACCTCAATTTTTGTACAATTCCGAGTTTTTTTATAGTTGTTGTAAAATAAAGTTCATCTCCTTGAGCTTAAGGGTGTATTGACGTATCCGTTTCTAGACGACCTGGTTGCAGATGCTAGCCAATCGGAGAAGCGGGCGCGCGCGCGTTTTCATGGCGGGAAAATGTTTACTTCCGGTGGAAAGGTTTTTGTTTACATAAAATGTATGGCATTATTTAAAAAAATATAATCTTCGGTGCAAAACATCAAATGGACGTGTTTTCAATATTTATGTTCTTCACAGCCTCCTTTTCAGAACAAAGCATGGGTTTGGCGAAAAATTAAAAAATACGAAAGTTATTGACATTTTTCGCTTATTTGTTGCATTTAAAAAATCGTAAAAAGCTTATTTGGCAATCATACTAAAAACGCATGCTTGGCTTTACGGACTTAGATCTAAAGATTAATTTCATCCATTTTAAATCGTTTAATATACATACTTTGCTTGATGAAATTATAGCATTTTTTCGTATTAATGACGACACGCGATGACGTCATAGAATGTGTTATTTTTGTTTGGGAAGGCTTAATACTCAATACGAAATCGATATTACTTTTGTTTGTCATTTTTAGGAACTACTGAATTTCCCTAGCAACGAATATGTCAGTACACCCTTAACAGCATTTGCTGCTTCTAATTTGATATATTCAAAAAAAAAAAACAAAAAAACAAAGACAGTACTTACTACGTTTTTTACATTTTTTAATTGATTATAAATCATTTGTTTATGTATTTACAAATAATACCTTCTTGTGTTCTGAATTTAAAAAAAAAGTGAAACAATTGTTAAATGACACGAATAATGACACTTTTAAGTGTCTTAAAGTGTCTTTAAAAAGAGTAAAAGTTTTTTATTATGAAAATAACAAAACACAATGCAAAATTCTACATATAGTTGTATACTTGATAGATCAGAATTTCTGCATATTGCTGCATTTTGATATATACTCAATAAATACATCAAATGAGAACATTAACTTTGTGAACAGAATTTTGTATAATGCCTGACCCTAAGCATAAAGGAGTCATCATCAGGAAGTTGATCGTTCCATTGCATAATGGGCAAGATGGGGTGCGGTTAATATCAATCCCGATAACCTTTCCTTCAATAATACAATCTTGAAAAGATTCTGATGATAAATTTAAATCTGGGATGTTGTCACTTTCGATTTCTTGTATTGTTGTGTACTCATTTGTGCTAAGATACTTAGTATCATTGAAGATCTTAACTTTAATGTTCTGAATTTTCCTCTTGCCATTTTGTCAATCGCTGATTCCCATAGTTCAAGTCTTATAGACTCAGTCCCATCAAAGATCATGCAATCTGTCTTGAAGCATGGATGATCTCGTACAATGATCTTTTGCTTTTCTTCAGTCTTTGATACCAGTTTTACTTTAACATCAAGCAGGCTGAATGGAGATAATGAAGCTACTGAGGAGAGGTGTGTGAGTTTGGAATCAAAGGACGCATCATAGTCGAAGTCCAGAACTGTTGCTTGTAGTTTGTTTTTTTTCCTGACTGAAAAGTCCATCTGTGAAGCATTTCTTTTGTTGGCAGTTAACTGCCCATCTTTGAAACTAACAGGGGTCTGTTGTTGTTGTTGGAAATTTAATATTTCGCTTCTTTTATCAGGATGTACTGTCTCACTCGAAGTTTGGATGTTGAAGTTGAAATATGCTGCATTTTGAATGAATAAATGCGGAGCATCTTTTGGATAGTTTTGACTAGTTTCAGAAATACATCTAGTCTTTAAATTTGCAATAGAGCGAATTCGTATATCGCACTTTAGTATGGTAATGAGTTGTTAATATGTTAATAGGCGATGCATCTTCAAAACTAGCGAAAAACACTGGAAATAAAGCAAAGTAACTACACAAACAAATCAGTAGTGCACTTTATTTCGTGATCTAAACTATCATCCTCAGGTTAAACACAACTTACAATATAAACACTCCTTATTCGATTCTTTTCAGTTAGAATTCTTGCACAAGCTGTGTGGATGTAATTGACTTCGAGTTCGTGCTCTTTTCTTGATAACTAAAAAAAGGAAGAAAACGCAGTTTCCTGCGCTAAACAACTCAGAAGCTAATGTCATATATTACAGTTTTTTGGGCGTTTTGATAGACGTTCTACTCAAAGACAATTACTTTCGGCCAGGTTAAAGTCCGACATGTAACTTGAGCCAAAGAGTTTTCGTGCGGGCTAAACATATTATAATTGCGGCCACAAGCTCAGTTCAGTCTACTGTAAGATTTATGAAATAATACGTAATTCGATACGTACATTAATCGATTGAGACGAAGAAGATAATTTGATATAATCTTATCGTAGTCTTTTAAATAAACGGATGCGTCTTTCTGATAAAAAAGTCGCTAACTCAACACAAACAGGTTGTAACCAACGTGGATGTCTCCATATATTAGAGGCAGCTTTAAAAGTTTTCATCTCTTTAAAAATGTGCTCTACTTTCACCCTTCTACTTGAAAGTGCAYGGTTAAATTTTCTGGCTCTCCTTCTCTGTCCGGGGTTTAATAAGGGCATCTGTCTTGCACGTACAGGTGTCATTAAAGCTCCTCCATCGGGGTAACCTTGGTCAGCCAACAGATTAACACCTGCGGGTAGATCCAGGGGTAAACCGGGTCCTATAGGCTGCATTAACTTGTACGAGGTCGAATCATGGGTAGAACCTAAGAAACCGGCATGTAAAAATCGAATGTGACCCTCGTTATCCATTACCAATTGAGTGTTTAGACAATGATAGTGTCTATGACCACTATAAAATGGACGCTGTGGCTCTGACAGAGGGCAATATATCTCATGTGGGGTTACGTCTATAGCCCCTACAGAGTTAGGTAATTCTGGCCAGTTTCCAATAAGATTCCTCCATTCTGCTATATTGGGCCAGGTAATTTGGTTTTGGAAATATCTCCACATTACTGGTAGCGTCCTGTAAATAATGCGGATAACAGAGGTTGGATCCAAGTCAAACCAGAGCGCTAAAGTGTCAATGTGAGAATATTTACGTAACCACATCATCACAAGCAAAGCCTGGTTGATAATGTTTATTTTCATCCGCCGCTGGCGTTGACGTTGTCCATCTAATCGTAAGTTTTGTAAGGTTGGGAGTATATCGTTGGCGAGTTTCAGAAACGACACAGGTGTCTCACCAGTATTCCGCCAAAACAGATGCGCTTGCCTTGATATCAAAGAGAACACATCTCTACCGTGAAATGTTTCCCCGTGAAAATTCTCAAAAAGTCGATGCTGCAAAGGAGACAAAGCTTGTTCAGGTGGTGGTCGATTTAAGGCGACAAACAGCAATATCCACGCGAGTACATTTAAAAGAAGTAAGCGAGCCTGTTGAACGTCCATTCTGCATGCATGCGCTACATCCTTTAGCTAGGTAATGAATATACATACCAACGTGAAAGTGCATTTCAAGCTGAAAYGTGCGTGCACGGACTCAAACTTGAGCACTAAAAATTKGCATTTTGGTGCTTGCTGTGTTTAGGCGGGAATTGTGAACTACTACGTAAAACTATACAGTCAATGAATTGCCAAATGAATTCACAAACAGGTCAGTATCTATCTACAAAAATATACAGACGTTTGAAAAATAGTCTAACTTTGTATTTGTGTGAACGATATCAATATATTTTAGGTGAAGGTCGTAAAGGTCTCTCCAAGGTTAAGCAAAGTAGAACCAAAATTGGTGAGAAAGAAAGAAAACTTGTTCTGGATTGTTATAACAGCTGTAACGGCAAAAACTGGAAGGAAGTTATCGAAACAGCAAAGAAAAACAAATGGGAGAGAATGCAGCGAGTATGCCGGAACACGTGGTAAACCTCTATTTAAGCCAAGCGAATGAAAAACTCATGAGACGAATGCAAAACATCGTGAAAAAGGCTTTGGAAGACGCTAATAACCATCCCAGTGTACCAGCAGAATCTGCAGAAATTGGAACAGAACAACAACTACTAGTTTCAAATGTAACCAGGTATGCAAAGAAGATTGACCAAACGAAAGAAGAGCTGAAGCCGTCAAACGAAAGCTGAACCAGAATTTTGTGGATTCGTCCGCGAGCGAGGATGAGACTACTGATACGGCTTCAAAAAAGCCGAAGAGGAAAGCAGATGCAGCTAAAGAGGCTAACCTAGCACACGCTGAAATGTGCCAAAAAGCCATGTCTACCATGGATAACATAAATACGCTTTTACAGAATGTGGACAACTACTTAGGAGAAGAACAATTAATAATAGCTCAGAAACGTTTAGTAAGCCTGTTCATGTTTTTTTTGTTTATTAGCTCAACCTGACGATACTTCATGAGATTACTAAATAAAGAGTATTTCCCGTTGATTTTGTTGACTGTGCAGTTGTTTTCTTAATGGCTTTCCGTTAGTTTGGACGATACACAGCATATTATCATATTAAGAACTCATTACCATACTAAAGTGCGATATACGAATTCGCTCTATTGTCTTCTTTAGTGTGATTACCTTCTCTTAATCTATTCAATAATTCAGCAAACTCTTTGCTTTCTCTTTGTCTCATTATTTGTTTGAGTTCAAACATTTTAAAAAGTTCTTTCCATACATTAGGTGCAAGAACACCATACTCATCATTATCCATGTCTTTAAATATATAACTATCCATTACAGGTTGAAGTTGGAATAAATCTCCTATAGCCCTTGATGTCTTTTAGTCTATTATATATTTGGACAGTGAACATGGTATTCCCTACCATGGATATTTCATCAATAAATATAAGTTAAATCCCACCAAGCTGACATCTTATTGTATTCATTCTGCTTGAATCAAGACTTTTATATCTCCTTAATGACTGACAGGCTGGTATTGCTAGAGCACTATGAATAGTATGGCCCTTAATGATATATGCTGCTTTACCAGTAGGTGCTAGCATTAATACTTTTACTTAATTAAAGTTATACCTGGTCTGGTGTTATAGTATTTTAAAGCAGCTTGATACAAGGCTTTAGTAACGTGATTTGCCTACACCTGCACCACCACTTAGAAAACAGTAAAATGCTTCTTCTGATGCTTTTATGAGATGCAGTACATGATAGGAAAATTCTTTTTGCTCCTTGTTCAATGTCTGTACCATATGTCTATATTCATTGTCTGGCAGTTCATTCATAGTAAGTGGTTCAGTATTATCAATTGATTGTATTCCTAAATCATCTAAACAGATTATAGTTTCCTGTTAAGTCAGGATGCAAGTCCTGATTACCTTCTGCTTGATCCTGTTATTCAATACTCTGTGTATTAGGTGCTATTTCATCATACCTATCCTCCATTCTACTCATATCCTGCTGCATCTCATTAAAGGACATTAGCAATGGAAATCAATAACGTCTTTAATAAAAGTACTTACATTCAGAGTCTCATTGGTAGTATTTTTTTTTTGCTCTCGGCTCAAATCACTACGAGAAATAGTTGATAGTTTATCCTTTCACCGCCATTACGGCGGCCATTTTGAGAATATCTCGATATGCAAATTTATTCAGTGACGTCACTTTAAGGGGGAACTTTGAATGGAACAGTGTTACAGTAAAATGTATTGTCCGGTGGTTGGTTGTAACAGCGATAGCCAAAAAAGCGACCGAGATATCGCCTTTTTTTCGTTTCCCGGAAGAAAAAGTCGTGAACAGCAGAAAAGGAGAGCCGCCTGGATTGAATTTTGTAAAAGGGAAAAGCGTTTCAAACCATCAGTGTCCACTAGAATATGTTCGCGCCATTTTGACGAAGACGCCTATGACCCGGCCCATTCACCAGTTTTTTTAAAACAAATTGGTTACACTGAAAAGTTTAAGGTYTATCTTAAAGATGACTCCTTGCCTACGCTTAACAAGCCTCCGACTACGTGCAGTTTAAATAGCCAAAAACCCGGCAGAATCTACTCAGAAAGGCGACAACAAAATCGAGTAAGTGAAGGCCTTGAATTTYGCGCCATTTTGCCTTGSCTTTTGTTTACTTTTTAGTTTGCATTCAAAGGGGCTTTCTTTAAATCATTTGCCGTGTTTTGTGCTTTTARGAACTGGAAGAACTTCTTATCGCCAATGCCGAAGGTGAAAGCTACGAATCTAACGAAAATTATGATGCAAGTGGTTTCCAATCAAATGACATCGAAATGGGCGAGTTTTCTACAACGAGCGATTCCTTTCATCAGCAGCATCAACTCTATTCATCCCAAAGTACACAAGCAAACATTAAACCTGCAACTCGATCAGTCAAAACTCAAACTTTCATCACTTTACATTCTTTATTTTTTGATCCAGCTTTGAACCAGCAGGCTACTAAGAACATTGAAACAACATCAACATCTTGTCAAACTGATGCCACAACAATTCCTGAAAGTCATAAAGTAGAGCAGCAAGATTGTGATGATTACTTCGACACTGATTAYGAAGATACCAAAGACAAAGATTATGTGCCTGAAAAAATTACTGAAGATGATTATAGTGATGAAGAGGAAACTGAACAAGAAACTAAGAAAACTMCAGAACATGTGACCTTATGTAGTGGTAAAACCCCACAAAAACAATACAAAATAATAGTATTTGAAGATGCCTTGCTAGAAGCATTTGGAAAGTGTACAAAATGTGGATCTAAATGTGAATTGACTCTAGAAAATCAAGTTGGGTCACTATGCTGTATTACTGTATCTTGTTTGTGTGACAGTAGTCATGATTTTAAATGGGTTACTGGTCCCGCCCTTGACAAATTACCTGCCTTTCATTTACTTTTGGCWTCAGGAATAGTCAGTGTAGGACTGGAATCATCAAAAGTACTTWGATTGTTTAAAGCATTAAATGTAMCCAACCTGAAGCAGAGAGAACTTTCAAACCTCCWAAAATATTATGCAATCCCTGCTGTCTTCAAAGTTTGGGGAAAAGAGCAAAAAAAGATTGTAGATGAGATAGCTGGGCAGCCCATTAAAATTGCATCAGACATGAGGGTAGACAGTCCAGGTCACAGTGGTTTGCTAGGCTCTGGAAGCACGCTGGATGTAGAAAGGAATGTTATACTAGATACACAAGTTATTAAGGTACNATTACCCAAAATGTAACAATATCCAACAGAAATTGTCTATCACTTCAAATTCTATCTAATATAGTCAATCATCAACCATATCTACTGGGTTGGAAATTCAAGCAACAGTGAAGATGAAAGAGAGGAAAAGTGGCTGAGCATCATAAATCATATTGTCAATATTCATGAGCACACAGGCAACAAAATTTTCACCAAATGTCTCCATCCTACTGTTGAAAGAAATTGGATTAAATCAGGTACTCTTGTACTATGGTTTTGCCTAACATGTATTTCTAAAAATGTAATAGATATGATACTAGCAATTTTAAATACAAACCTAGCCCAACTCAATCCTCCTAGAATCAGATAAAATGTTTGTTTAATCTAAAGTATRAACTGAAAAATTTATGTAGGGTCAGCATGCCACAAGAAACTAACAGATATGATAAGTAGACCACGGCTACTTGCTGCAATTCGCAAGCTTTCAAAATATCACCAAACGTCTGRACTGGAAGCAAAGCATTCCTTGGATAATTTGCTTGCTCCAAAAAACACGTACTTTTCATACCATTCCCTCAGTGCAAGGTAACATTCTAAATGTATACAAATAAATACATTTCAAATTTGTATCTTTAATACACTTTGTAACAAACAAGGTTGTCGATCTTTAATGAATCATAAAACACCTGATAAAAAAAACATGATTAATTGTTATTCTTTTCAAAATAACAAAAAATATGTACATTTCAATATCATACATGGTTACTCCAGTTGAAATACAACTTCATAGGATTTAAAACAATAATTATTTCTTCATTTGTGTAAGTAAGTCATAAATGATGCCCTGCAACAAAAACRACCAAAACAAATCATGTAGTAGGCTTATCTGCACACGGTTTACTGGTTATTTGAATATTTTTATGGGCCTTTATACATTACTGTATGTCACTGGTCACCTCATAATTACCTAACCATTTGTATAATAATGATATATTATATTGATGTTTGCTGATTAGACCAATGATTATATGTTTTCATATTATGCAGATTGTTTTGTTCAAACTTACATTACAACGAAAACAGTTCACGAAATCAAGCAAAAACACTTGATGGAAAGCTCAAGTGGACCATCAATTTTCCAAAAGCATCAAAAGGGGAAAAGGCTGTTGCAAAGCCACTGAAAGAAGAACCAAGCTATGGTATTTATGCCTATATTTCCCCTDTAGTATTTATTATATTTATTGTCTTGTGGGTGAGCCCAAGTACAAATGTTCCTAACAATCAAATATATCTTACATTTAGATCATTATGCAATCTTATTTTATTATCTTATTATCTTATTTTCTTATTTTTGGTGTGCAGGCTWCATTGATTTGATTTTTGATGAGGTTATCAACCAGAGAAAGAAATACAAAACTTTAAACAGAGCAAAACTTCACTCACAGCAAGTTCTGCCAGCTGAGCCCCAATCTCTAGTTGATAAATATCTTGCTGGAAAGGCACATCCCCCAAAAGAGCAAATTGTTCAAAATAGGCATACAAGATACAGTTCTCCAGCTGTTGTTCCAGAACGTCTCCTCAATTCAAGTATATCATGTTCGTGCAAAGGAATRTGTGCCACAAGGGCCTGTAATTGTAATAAGAATGAGTTAGAATGTGGAAGTCAATGCACTTGTAGGGAAGATAAATGTAAAAACCGAGACAAATAAAGCAACACTCTGTTTTATGAGGATTTGTATTTTCTAGTATTGCTTTGACTGTGTTATAAATGTACGGTGTTCTTCACAGATACCATACACTTGTGCATGTGTTGTGGTAGTTATCACATAATGACTGCCAAGAGCATGTAATATTTTTTTTCTCTGAATCTTCATGTTCAAATCATATTGAAAATATGCTACTTACTAAGAAGTATATTTACTTTTTCTTCTTTGATGGGTATTTAAAGTGTGTGTACAATCCATCTGGAGAAGCGAATGYTGTTCGAATTTTAGAATAGACACATGCTGGGAATGGACGACGTACTTTTTTCCCMAAAATCTGAAAAATCCATCGGGAACAGCGATGATAAGAAACTAGACGATAAATTTTATGAATTTTCCCAAGGTCTTMGTCTCCTATAGGCCAATTTTCCTCCAAATAACGGCAAGTATCGATTTTAAGGACCGATTTGGAGAGCATGTTTTCCTTGAAGTCGGAAAGAGCCGTGATACACTGGANCCTCAAGTGACGTCATTTGTACCACGTGACCTAAATTTAATGAGGAAGGGAATAACATTCAAAATGGCCGCCGTAATGGCGGCAAAAGGATGAAACATCAACCTATTTCTTGTAGTGATTAGAGCCGAGAGAAAAAGTAATACCACCAATGAGTCTCTGAATGTAAGCACTTTTGTTACAAAGTTTATTGATTTTCATTGCTAATGTCCTTTAAGGTCTTCATTACAAACAGCATATTTGTTCTTTGATCATATTGGAGACTGACATACATCAGTCTTGATATGATGAACAATTTCCAATTAAGTCAGTCTCCTCATTTCTCCATGGTGTAAAGAGCATCAAGAGCTCGCGATAATGTTTTTCTGGTTCAGTTTGCACATTAAACCATACACTTCTTATTATCCTCGCTGAGTCTAAATCGGGTTCAACCCGTAAATCTAAATTTAGATCTTTGGGTTGGACCCACATTAGACTGTAGTCCAAGCCACCTAAAGTCGATAATGGTCTCATTGTTTCGTTTTAGCCAATCAATGATCGGCTTTCTAGCTGTGGCGGCATATATATATCGCTACACAATCCATAGGTATGGTACCTCTGAACTGATGTTATCAAAAGAGATTTGAAAATTACCGTTGAAATGAAAAAAATACGCGCTGTTAAATTGAAAACTACGTTTATTAGTCGCAGTTGTAAGCGTTGCGTATATGTACCTGTAAACTCCGTTAACTCCGTAAAGAAATCAACAGAAAATCAACAGTCAAGCATCGTCCATTACTCGGCAAGTGTCGATCGACGAACCGCCCGCATGCAACTTAACTCTTCACCAGAAACGACAGGTTTTTACCTATAACAACTGGAAGAGGGTTAGAGATTCTTCATCTTCAATGCATTCATTGATGAATCGCATCTTCCTAGGGATGCAACTTGTATTGAATGCAATAAGGAGGCACCTACAATACGATGTCAAGATTGTGGCACAAGACAGTTCTTTTGTGAACAATGTGCACAAAATCTCCACTCGAAACGAAACCATTTCCACATTCTGGAAGTTTAGGAGGTAAATACACGACTTTATAGTATTTAAAAATCGTAAACAAAGTGAGAAATAACAATTTCTTCTTGCATTAATGTAGGATGAAATGTTTTCACCTTTGTACGCTGATCATGGCGTCGTCGGTTACGGGCATAATTGCTCAACAAAGTTCTTCAAAACTTCACACTAGTAGATAGTTCTGGTAAGATTTGTATGATAAATGGCTATTAATTTTGATAGTATTGATTTTTGGCAAATGTTTTTTCCTTTTTTTTCTTTTAAGTTTATGTCATATTTGACAACAGACTCCCTGATTTATGCACCTATCAGCGGCTTCCCCCTGGGGTAGACCCCCGGGACAACCAGGGAGATTGTAAAAATTTGCAAACACTTTTGATTATTATCCTATCTTCCTTGGGGTCTCCCCCAGAGGGAAGCCACTGATAGGTGCATTACTTCCCACGCATAAGCTTATTTGTAAATACAGTAAAAAGTGATGATAAGTTATGTTCATTTTAATAAGTATTTTTTTATGTTTACTTTCACATGGGCTCATGTGCTTCTTTTCAGGAAAACAACATGTCAAACGTGTGGAGGTATGCGAATGTGAACCAATTGCCGTTTCTCTAGTTAGATCTAATTTCTGGACCGGTTCACCAGTCAAACCAACTACTGCATTCCACATCTCATTGATTAATTAAAGCTGGAAAAGTTATTTTTACAATGCCAAGTTTCTATATATGACTTTGGTGAAGTTCTCAACCTTCTACAGCCTCAACTTGGAAAAACAGTGGTATGCAGTTTATAGGTTCCTTTGTACTCTTTGCAGGAAACTGGCCAAAAATGTTCATGTTGACAGATTGCATCTTTCCTGATGGTTTAGGGGATCTGTGTTTAGTCTGTTTAATTTTATGTTTTATTTTAGATATTGTTCTTGACGTTCTTGTCCTTTTTTTGTTGGTTTGTGTCACAATACATCACTGACATTAAATGTGAAATGGGCAGGTTTGAGTGTATATTCCAAGCAAACTCATGTGCATAATCATGCGATTATGAAATATTGATTTTCCATCAACCAAAGACAGGCATTGTTCATTCAATATTGCATTGTGAGCAATGCCAAGTGGGGGGAATCTAGGCATGCAAATTCGAATTTAACCTTGTACAAAATATTTAAATGTGTTTATAAAAGTTGATCCTGCCTATAATGTGCAGCTCTTTGGATGGGAGTTTGGGCATTATATACCTCTATATGGGGTAGATGCAATTTCTGAATGCTGCTTCCTTATTGGTGGTAAGCTAATAGCCTGTAGTGTACTACATTGTGGGACAACATTCGCTGGCCTTTCCCCAGCTGTTATTTAGTACCTAGCTACTGGATCAGTTGATAAGGCAACAGCCAAAGTTACCCTTTCTGATTTGCATGATGTGGATTTAAGAGAAATTATTGAAAATAAGGTTAGTAATACGGTTACTGAATCAATTATCATTCATTTATATTGATGCTAGAACACTACCTTTAATTTATATATTCCGAATGTTTTGCATATGAAACTGTTTCAATTCAATCCATGTGTTTGTTCTTATTTACAATACCCTTTTATTCCTAAAGCTTGTTTTATTTCAAAACTTTATACTGTATTTGTATTTGGGTTGTTTTCATTGATACTCGTCTGCCTAGATTGGAATGTATTAGAATATTAAAAGAGTTAATCGTTTACTTAGATTGTTGGTCAAGACTGTTTGGAAGGCCTAACAAGTGCAGAAAAGGACAGAATAGAGGAAAAATTGGTGTCTCATGGTTTATCAGACATTCCACTGAAAATGCTGAACAAAGATAAATCTATAAAAGACCTCCTCTCTGCAGAAGTCATCATAACTAGGATTCTAGCCTTGGATTCCTTTTTCAAGGGCCTAGACTGCATGGGACTTGGAAAACGTTTGCGCAGCTATCCAGCCATCATTGCACATCTCATATTTCCATCTCCTCAAGATATGTTGTTAGATGCAGATGTCGTCAAGTCTAAATTTGTCGTTAAACATGTTGAGAGCTCAGAGGAGGAGGATTTTGCCTTGCGCTGGTTCTACCAGCGAATCAGCCTCAGTAAAAGGTATGGTTGTTTTACCTGTTCCTATGGGATTGTATTTTTTTTAACACCCCTATGTACACTTGTTTACTCGACTAACGTTTATACTACAATCATGTCCAACTGGAAAAGTTGTATTTTTGGAAGTGAAAATAAATAGAATTGATTAAAATATCAGCCTGTATCGGAAAAATCAAAAATAGACTGTTTATTATTTGACATCCAAACAAAATGCTGCCTTTTTATCAATTTTAGCTTGCATTTGCAGCATTTCTATCAAATTTTTAAGCTGTACACATTGAAACCCGTTTTTACTCATATCTTGGTTTGTCTCTTCACCTTGTATGTATGGTAAAAAATTAGATTAGTTGCAATAATAATACACTTAAGCTAATGCTAATTCTGTCAAGGGTTGTTTGAGGATACAAGAGGTGGCATTTCTTTGATGGTATTGGACTGGGATCAACATTCTTAGGTAAGCAACCACTGCCAGACCTCTTCTTGAGGCGTCTGAGAAGACATGCAGCTGGGTGCATGAGGGTGATCCAAATCCTTGAGGCTTGAAACATCTAGGAATGTTAATATTAACGACATGTGGTATGCCATGTATCCATTCCTTCCACTGAGTCAGGAATTGTTCAGGAACTTCTTTATCCCAAGACACTCCGATCCTCCATAGGTCCTGCAGCAATATCTTCACTGGTAGGATGAGCGGTGCCAGAAATCCCAGCAGATCGAACAGAGAGCTGGCGACTGAAAATATTCCTCTCTTGGTGGATGGCTTCGAACTGGGCACAATTTGAAGCCAAAGACATCAGTCTAAGCATCACAGTACACACCCAGAGCACGCCCAATAGGCAAGCGGTCGAGATCCATGTCAAGCTTCGGGTCAGTTCTGTCTTCTGCGTTGATGGAGGCAAGCACCTTGCGACTGTTGCTACTGAACTTTGACAGGCGAAAGCCAGCAGTTTGATGAGGTTAATTGCTAGAGATATGGCTCTTTCCTCGGTGGTTTCAGATCTTAAGACTTCATCTACATAAAAGTTCCTCTGAACAGTGTTACAATAATACAATACAATAATTTTATTAAGCAATCCAAAAATGGCTTTTCATGCCTAATTTACAATAGTTTCCAAATTTACATAAGTACAAACTGATAAAATTACAATGATGATTAAGAGTAAAATTTCCTATTTATAATAATTTACAATAATTATAAAAATTACAATTATTATTAAAGATATAAATACTAATGGATAGGATCATGACATCATGTATCTTAAAGATCTCTTGAAGGACTTAAGTGAACTATGTTCTTTCGATATCTTTAAGTCATTCCACAACTTAAGCGCCCTGAAGAAAAAGGAACGCTGCGCGGTAGAAGTTCTGCACATAGGAATATTAAGATTGTCTTTATATCTCATGTTATAGGTATGTGATTCAGATCTTTTGCTTATCTTTCCACATAGATATTGTGGGGCGAGTCCATTCACTATTTTGAAAACTTGACAAGCATCCCTTAAATTCAACTGGTTATTGATGGATATCCAACCTAGCTCTTTTAGAACTGGCGAAATATGATCATATTTTCTAGTGTTTGTCAGGATTCTAGCTGCAAAATTCTGTAAAAGTTGTAGTTTATTGATGTTTTGTTTTGAAGTACCAGACCATACAGTAGAGCAGTAAAAGAGTTTACTAAAAACTAGGGAATTCAGAATCGTGAGGAGGGTATCTTTAGTGAACAGATGGCGAACTCTATTTATCCTGCAGAGGCTGCCAAGAAGAGATGACATAAGTGTATTAATATGCTGATTGAATGACAGGTTACAATCAAGTATGATCCCAAGGTCTTTCACAAAAGGTTCTGGAAAAAGGTCTTGACCCAAGAATGGAACGCATAGACCTGATACCCTAGCAAGCATCTGTGGTGTTCCAAAGACAATGAATTTTGTTTTGTCAGGGTTAATAAGGAGACTATTAGCACAGCACCACTCTGCAATGCGTCGCAGATCCTCTTCTACTTGAGACAAACATGAGTCAACGTCTTTTGCGGCAAATGACAGATAGATCTTCGTATCATCAACGTATGACTCAACATGACTGTACTTGACCACAGAGGGCAGATCATTCATGTACAGTCCAAACAGCATAGGTCCCAGTATGGACCCCTGAGGAACCCCGTGAGTAACTGTCAATTGGTCAGATAAAGACGTACCAACCCTAGTAGACTGTTGCCGATCTGTGAGATAACTTGCAAACCACTTGATGGCCGTTGGTGATGTCCCTAAATTTTTTAACTTGAATAGAAGGGTATTATGGCATATACTGTCAAATGCTTTGCTTAAGTCTATAAGAATCATGGCAGTTAGCTTCTTCTCGTCCATTGCTCTGTAAATATCCCCTGTAACTAGTAATCCTAAGGTTTCGGTTGAATGGTATTTCCGGTTACCGCTCTGATGATGTGTTAGTTTGTTCATTTTAGTGAGATAGCTATTATAATCATTTAATGCAATCTTCTCTGCTACTTTGGAGAGAGCTGGGAGAAGAGAAATAGGGCGGTTATTGCCAGGAACCTCTGGGTCACCTTCTTTAGGATGTGGGACAACTTCCGCTTTCTTCCAGGCTCGTGGAAAGACAGATGTAGTAAATGAGGTGTTAATGAGGCTCGTTAAGGTTGGTAAGATGGATGAGAGACAGTCCTTGATCACGCGCAGGGGAACCCTATCGTGGCCAGGTGCCTTATTAGGAGCCATAGACATTATTACGTCGCGTACATCTGAGTTGGACACTCGCCGGAATTCAAACAAATTATCATCACTGACAGGAGTAGTGACATTTTGTTGTTGTGTGTAGCTGTCAGAAAGACCGTGAGATCTAGCCAACTTCGTAGCGTCGCTCGCTGCATTNAGCCATGTCTCTGGTTTCGATAAAATGCTGCCTGGACTTAAGTAATTCCGGATTAATATGGGCTATTTGCAAGCATTTCTTTTGGAAGTTGGGCCTCGTACCATGAGCTGCGTGTTTTGACAATTTAACACAGTTGGATGCCACGTGGCCAGCGGCCTTAAAACTTTTGATAGGCCGATTTCCAATGCAGACAGGGATCCCGTTGCCATTCGACGTAATTTCTGGCCCGGGTAACGGATGGACGTCACCGCTCAGCTTGATACAAAATTCCATGAAATTAAATGTAGCGCAGGAGTTAGAGTAATAAGAGATACGGCTCTTTGAAAATTTCCGTCTTAGGCCAGTGATGATGAACAGAGGGCGATACCAAACAATGGATCTTTGGATGTTGTTATGTCGCATAATGGTAATAACAATAGAGTCATCGAAGTGTAGAATACGGCCAGTCGTATTTGAATTGCAAATATATTTGCTGGAAACAAAATCAAACTGCTTGAACAGAAAATACTTCTCAGCAGCTTTTTGATCTTCTGAGGTTGCAAAGAAACCTTCTCCATGGCGTCTCTGAACATTCCCATAACCAGGAAGACTAGCTGGTTTGTCAAGGAAGCCTCCAAAAAGGAAAAAATATATAAGAAAGACAGAGCTCCAAAAGTCATGTCTGCATACCATGACGCTGACTGATGATCACCGCCAAAAAAAAACTACTTCTTTGTCATAATTATCCTTATTGTCTTGAGCTGTTCTTCTAAGGGCCTTGTTGGCGCAGCAAGAGGAGGATTTAGCTCCAAAAATGTGTACACACATCTTGAACTCTTCTGGGGGCTTTTCCAAATCATCACTCGTCCACCATAGAAATCCCAGTGCATCCGTGTCATCATCCATGACTTCCACCTGATAGAACATGGCCTCCACATCGGCAATAAAGGCCGTCCTCTCTGCTTCTCCTCTCTTCTCTAAAGCGAAGCAGAACTCCTGTGAGGTCGTTAATAAAGCAAGGTCCTTGGAGGAGGTTGTCATTAAGCGATGTCCCACCATACTTTGCTGCGGCGTCAAAGACCACTCTGATCTTACCGGGTTTGTTAGGGTTGCTGACTGGGTGGTGTGGTAGGTACCAGGTCTTGCCACTGATCTTCGCTGCTTCCTCAGTCGATAACACAGCATAGCCTTTCTTCAAGTAATCATCCATCACTGCTTTGTATTTGGCATGGAGTTGAGGGTTGTTCTGAAGACGATGTTTGAGGTGGTTGATCCTTGCTTCGGCCAAAGGTCGGTTGTAGGGTAGCTGAGGTTTTGGCTCCTTCCAGAGTAAGCCCATCTTGTAATGGTTACCATCCTTGTGTAAAGTTTCCTCGACAATGTTCATGGCTCTCTTATCTTCGATGGACATTGGTTTAGTTGTAAGTACATCTACGCCATATGACTCAATCCTCCAGAAATGTTGAAGGTGTTCTTGAAGCATGGCGTCCGTTGTAGTAACATGGTTGGCGTTTGAAGTATCCGAGGGCATACCCTTGCAGGAGCCTCCAAGAACACTCCACCCAATGCAGGAACGGATGACAAATGGCTCGTCTCGACTTCCTCTCCTCACTTCTAACGGGATAAAGGCCTCGTGGATGTTTGTTCCAATAAGTACTGAGACTTTTTTCCTTTCCCCTTCAGGGAAGGTCACGTGTTGCAAGTGCGAGCAGTTGGCTCCATCCTTCATGACGTCAACGTGTTTAAGCGGAATTGAGAGATCTCTTGTCGCCCATGCAGAATCAGCGAGGATGTATTGACTCTCTCTGGAGTCCACAGATGACAGTTTGAACTTCACCTTTAGCCCACGCTCCTCCACAGAAGCATCACTCAAAGTAGTTATCCAAAGTGCCTTTCATCCCAAGCAGTAGAGCAAGGGAAGAGTCAATCATTGTCAAGTCTGAGCCAGAGTCTAACAGACCATACGTTGTTATAGTGTCTCCTTGCAGGCTTGTTACTCGTAGAGAGAGGACCTGTAAGAGTGCTCCTCGAGAAATCTTCTTTGCAGCTACGCAGAAGTTAGCTTTGGGCACATCACTAGCCGGTGTTGTCACAGAGTTCTCTTCCTTTCTTTCAAAATGAAGCAGAGTGTGGTGTAACTTTCCGCAACCACTGGCACGGCATCGAGCCGTGGACTTGCATTGTTTTGCACTGTGCTTTGAGCTCAGACACTTGAAGCAGAGATGATTGTTCTTTGCAAAGTCCGCTCTTTCACGTGGAGTTAGTGCCTTAAAGGCATCGCATTTGTACAGAGCATGATCCTTAGAACACTTCGTGCACAGTTCCTTAGATGTTGTTGCTGTAGTAGTAAACGTAGATGATCTATGTGTAGGTTTGACAGGTTGTTTGATAGGCAACCTTGTCGTTGGCTGCGATGACGATGAGAAAAATGGGTGGTTGGCCACTTGTGCTCTATCCTTTAGGAAATTCACAACATCTGTGAACGACGGCATCGAGTGTCCTGTAGTTTCAAGCTTTCTTAAGTGTTCAATAAATTTGTTTTGGGTTCCTCTTGGTAGCCGTGACAGTATTTTCCCAAGCATATCCTTGTTGACCTCTGATAGAAATCCCATTGAAGCCAGTGTATCGTAGTTTGCTTGTACCTCATCAGCGAAGCGTTGTAGCGCTTGATGATCAATCACGCTAATAGGCGGTCCCTTTGTCATAGTGTCAATGCAAGCCTTTACCACGTGATAGGGGCGGCCAAACCTATCTTCGAGAATCTTTAAAGCCATCTGAAGCCTCCGGGTATCGTCTCGTAGCGTTGTACTGCTAGGAGAGGTGGTCCCTCTAGAAACTGGAGTAGTCGGGTCATCTTTGTTGCATCATCTAATGGTTTCGATCCGACGAGTTGGTTGAATCTCAAGAGAAATGCTGGACATCTGTCCGGAGAGCCGTCAAACTTTGAAACTCTGATCGTGGGAAGGTCACGTGTTGCACTCATTTTGTTCATAGAAGCTACAAGTGCCTCTACAATTGATATACTTTGCTCAGATACAGTAGAATTGTGGGTTGCAGTCATTTTGCTGTCTTGGATTTGATGAATCTGCATTACGTCAGTAGTTGGTGATGACTGTAATAGCATAGCACCTTCTTTGGAAGCTGGTTTCCTCACGATACTCGAGGTGCCAGCTGTTGATTGTACTTCAGGTTGGGGTCCCCGCGTCGGTGGAGCTGGCGGCATCTCCATGACTTCGATCGGTTTTCCGGTACTTGAATTTGTTCCAGGGTTTGGGATACCAGTGTCACAATTATCTTCACATTGTTGGACTTCACGCTGGGGTTCCTGTGTCCTGCATTCATGGTTCATTGAATATTCATAGCAGCCCATCGACTCCATGGATTTGTGGTTAAACTTCGACTGAAGCTTAATGTCACTTTGTCTAAAATCATCTAGTTGGCGTTGGGGTCCCTGTGGCGTGACCCCTTGGTAGGTTGGATACTCTTTTGAGCCCATTGGCTCCACGGAATTGTGATTAAACTTCGACTGAAGCTTAAAGTCATTTTGTCTAGACCCCCCTGACTCAGGCTGGGGTCTCTGTGTCGTGTACTAATGATTTATCTGATCCTCCTTTGAGCCCATTGGCTCCATGGAATTGTGGTTAAACTTCGACTGAAGCTTAATGTCACTTTGGTTTAACTCATCTAACTCGGGTAGGGTTCCCTGTGGTGCGGGGAGTTTCTCAAAGGCTGACCCCTTTGGAGACGGGGCTACAGACTTAAGTCCATCAGGGAGTGTGAAGTTGACATTAGGTCCACTTGACATTGCTACAATGGGTGTTGATGTTTTCAGCATAGTGATACCCTATGCAGGGGTTACATAGTCTGCAAACATGGGAGGCGCTGGTATCACGCTTAGGTCTGAGTCCCCTAGTTGAGTGGTCCTGATGGTTTCAAACTGGGGGGTGCCGGTATGACATTTATACAACTAATGCTATTCTCTGTTTCATGTTGCTGAGTTGTCATCATGAGATCACACACTGGGGGCGGTGGTATAACATCAAAACTATCGGTCATGATGGACTCAGGCACAGGAGGTGTCATGCTACGAATATCAATCAAAGCAATAATATAAAAATTAGGTAAAACCTAATAGCGGAGCTCCCAAAAGATATGCATGTTGGATGAAGATGTGATGCAAGACATATTGGTCAGATTTTGAGTACATGTTTTGTCAAGACTAATTTATTTTTGCTAACAAAAAAATTCCATGGCACTACATTAAATAATTATTAAACTTTTTCTCTTCAGCTTTGTTGATGCAAATCAGTGATATATATAATTATATGTAAAGAAAACCACTTATTTTGAATTCTTGTGGTTATTTACCAAAATAAAACTTCCTTAGATAATCTTACAGAAATCATAAATTAATATTAATTCTTAATATATTTTGAAACTTTGACATTTTTCAATCATACAGGAATTATAAATAATATTAAATGCATTTTGGCAGTTTTGGTATTTTTCAATCATTAAAGGAATCATAAAATAATAACAAATGCATTTTATTGACAGTTTTGAAATTTTTCAATCATGCAGAAATAATAAAAATAATAACAAATGCATCATGTCAATAGAAATTGTTTGCAATTTTGTTGTTTTAAATTCTTGATAGTTGATATTTTTCAATCTTTACAGGAATCATCAAATAATATAAATGCATTTTGAAAGTTTTGGCATTATTCAATCATGCAGAAATCATAAWTTCATATTCTTGAAATGTTCAAACTTTTTGATCTTCTAATGTTTATGTAACTACAGACTTTTGCTTACACCAATRTCATTTAATRGACAGAACATAACAGCTGTCGCTTGAAGATATCAATTTTATCTTCAAGTTTTGAATTTATATATCCCATGAGTTAGCACAATATTTCCATGCACACATGTAATATCCTTTATTTAATCACACAGGAATGATAAATAATAATAAATACATTTTGGCAGTTGATATTTTTCAATCATACAGTGATCCAAAAAAATGATTTATGGGTCATTTATGCAATTTGACAGTTTTGGTGGTTTTTCAATCACACAGGAAACATACGTAATAGTAATTTGATCACACAGGAATGACACTAATCAATACATTTTTGACATACAGTGATCATTAATGATAAGTAATAAATACATTTTGACAGTKTTGTAAACAAAGRMATCATAATGTTCATAATGATTATCCATTTTTCAACACTTCAAATTCTTTGCTTATCTTTGCTCTCTGTATTTGTTGACAGTTTGTATTAAAGAGTTTATTGAAGAATAAAGAATAAAATCTGAACATTCAAATAATATCAAGGCTCTCTTTTCAAAATGCATAGTTTTATAAATTAAAACATCCGAGTAGTTTTATGTCAAAGAAGATTATTATTGTGGATAGAATGTACGTGTACGAAACGTGTACACAATTCACACATAATTTCATTGTCAACAAGCTCATTTAACTGAGAAGTTTTGAAGTGTATCAGGTGAAGATTTTCAAATTCAAAAGCAAATTTAAACCAGATTAAAACTGCCAAAGGTTCTTGAAGTAGAAGAATTGATATAAGTTTACTTAATTTGAGCACCAAAAACCGCTTGCACATTATAATCTAACATACCGCCATTTGTTTAATAACGCCACGGTATCGTCGGAGAATATGTCAGTTCTCCTCTGAGAAATTCTCCATCAATAATCGTTGTCTTTGGCATTAACTTGTTTCTCGATTTGCTTGAGTCTTAATAAACTTAAGCATAATTGTTTCGTCTCTCACGTTTTCCCTTTCAAGCCTGCGTTGTTCTTCACTTAGACTTCTTCGACGCTCTCTTTCTCTTCTTCTTGTCTTTTCTTCTTCAGATAAAGATCGCTTTCCGTTAGCTACCCGTTGATTTTCTGACATTTGGCGCAGAAGTAAAGTATTTGAAAGGACAAAAATGGAGTCGTTGTGGTGAAAAAGCTGCTTTCAAAAACTGACGCGAGCGCGCTTCCTTTTCCCGCCTTCTCAAAAGTAGCCAATCACAATCGCGATGTACACGGACGTACGTACGTACGTACGTACGTACGGAAGGACAACTGGGCTTCCTATGTCGGTTGATCAAAACTCAACCTCATGGGTTTACCATTTTTCCTTAGTTATGGTGCTCCGCTCGGGAGCTCCGCTATTACTTTCATGCTGACTGGTTGTTCTCGTCATGGGCTCACAGCTAGACGCTTTGCCCACAGTCTCACTAACATAATGATTTGCACTCATAATTGTGTTCTGGAGTTCACATTCACTCTGTTGAATTTCAAATTCCAGCTTGGAGATTTGGGATTTCACAGCACTTGACAGTAACACATTAATTTTACCAAGGTAAGAATTAACTCTTTGAGTTTGAGCATGATAATTGGCAGAAACATCCTGGTATTTATCACATGATTTGTCTAGTAGCAAAGTATAACTTTCACAGCACACCTTGTACCTGTTAAATGCTTCACGTAAGCGCGATTCCAGTTGTCGAAGAAGGTCATTGTTATTAGTGTCAGACAGTTTGTCAACATAGTTACACAATTTTGTAATAGCAGCGAAGTAACCACTTCGAGATTTATCCAATTGATGTATTTTTTCATACAAAGCACCTTGATCCATGTTCGAGAAGCGGGAAATCTATAGCTGAATAGTTCCACTGAAGTCACAATAGCCGAGTTTAGATATTTTGGTTCAGTGACCATGCACAAAAGAATTGCAGACRAKRMTCYRKGGAAATAAAGAATAAAACGATATTATACGCTCTTTGATTGGTCATTTTGAAGTGTGCACTTCAAAATAACTCTTTGCAATATATAAAAAAAATAAAATTATCAATGGATAATCTTGATTTATTCTTTATTTCCCCGGAGCCTCGTCTGCAATTCTTTTGTGCATGGTCACTGAACCAAAATATCTAAACTCGGCTATTGACGGTTTTCATTCACGAAGAGACATGTATACGTCCAAAGGTCAGAGAGATGCTGTCCAGCGACGAACAATCTCACAAATAAACACGGTTGAATTAGTTACGAAAGCAGCTAGCGTTTTCGGTCTTATTTAATTCCTTCGTAAGGCACTCTCGTAAGGTTTTACATTGTACTTGTGTAGATCTCAAATCACGTATACAATACCGTAAAATCCTAAAGAAAACATTTATGATTACATACAGGCAAAATAAAGAGCAGAAAGGCACGAAAAACAAAGAAAAATACACTTACCAAACGGTGAATACATATATCTACGAAGTTGCACGCCTGCCGTGTTAGCTGGAAGTAAAAGTTACAGTTCTTTACAAATAGGACTATTGTAGCTGAACCTCTTTCTGATGACATAAATGGAGACATAAAAAATTGCACTCTCGAAAAAAGAAGAGAAATTCTCACATTTATAAAAGAGAAGAAAGATGATGTTCTTAATCCAAGTAAACCAAACTATGAATCTACACAGACAGAATCTGATATTTTTAACTCTGTTGGTATCACAGAAGAACAGTACTACACTGCTTTATCTATTTCGCCAGAATCAGATTGTGAATTACATTTGAAACGACCAATTGATAGCTGTTTTATCAATAACTACTTTGTAGCTGGAATAAAATGATTTGCTGCTAATGTTGATTTGCAGCCAGTTTTTAATAACTACAAGTGTGTAACATATGTGTGTTCATATTTTAC